TTTTTTGTTGAGTTTTTCTTGAAACTCTATGTTAGAATCAGAGTTGAAGAGCAGAACTTGGTTTAAATTATTTTTATGAGAGGTGTAAAGTAGCAGCCTTTCGTACTATCTGTCGAGTTGTTGAAAAGCAAATGTTGTGCTTGTTTACTTTCTTGAATTTGCACAGGAAAATCTAACTCTGGGCTCTGGTGAATGGGTTTTCTTATGTTTTCTGCGTGTTTCTACTATCCATTGGTTTCAAGCAGTCAAAAGCAAAGATTATTCAGTGTTTGCCAGAAAATGATGGAGATGGTTTTGTGGCTTTAATTATCTATGTAGATGTAGATGACATACTCATTGGAATAAACCCGGAATTCTTGAAGAAAGTAAATGTATATAGATAAGAATATTATTTATAAATTGACCGAACTAATTTTATTTTATAAAATTATACTTTTATTTAAAAGAAGGTATATAAATATTTCTTTAATTGGAAAGTATTATATTACCATCATAATTGATCAAAAAAATAAAATAAAACCATGATTGGAAATGTTCCAAACAAGAACAAAAAAAAAAAGTGTTCGAGAACAGAGCATAAATATGAAAATAAATAATGGCATTTTTTGTGAAAATAAGTTTTATTTGTTTAAAAAAGCTCGAGTTTATCTCATAAGCTTCTTTGGTAGCTTTTTAAATAAGTTTGTTGAATTTTTTATTTTAGTTAATTTATCAACTATCATATAAGCTAGCGAAACTTACTCACAAGTTATAACAGACTATGTTTGGTAAAACTAGCTAATAAACTAACTAATAGTTGATAAGCTAGCTTATAACTTATTTGTAATTTTTGAGCTTATGACTTATAGCTGAAAAGTTAACTTATATGATAAAAGTGTTTGGTAAAATTAGCTGATAAATTAGTTGAAATAAAAAAATTCAACTAGCTTATTTGAAAAGCTACATAAAGTAACTTTTTTGAAAAGCTACATAAAGTTAGCTTATATGAGATAAACTCGAGCTTTTTAAAAAAGTTCGTACTACCAAACGAAGCTTATTTGAATACAGTGAGCTTATAAGCTAATCAAATAAATTATAAGCTAATTTATTTGGCTTACTAGTTATAAGTAACTTATCAATTAGTTTTACCAAACATAGCAAGCATTAAAGTCACTTTTGTATTTTACTTATTTTCTAACTCTTTATTTCACGTGCTAAATTAATACAATTTCTCAATTTAAAATGTAAATCTTTTTATAGTTGGGCCTTAAATTTAAAAAAAAAAAAATTGCAAAAATTAGGTCGAATAGTCCTTCGCCGAAGGGGTTCGTTGCTTCTTTGCGTCAAGATACAAAAAGAAAATGGAGAAGCATGTGGTGGCGCGTGTGTTGTTGCAATGCGAAACCGGCGGGATAACGTGGCTCGCCGGATTGCAGAGATCAAGGCTGCCTTGTCAGCTGAAGCTATTGAGGTAACTGAAGCCTTCACTTGTCTGTACTGAATTTTGACTGTGCAATTTCATGTTTATGAGATTGTAGATGAGATCGCTTTGGAATTTTGAAATGAGTGCATTTTTTTAAAATCATTTTGTGAAAATTTGATTGGAAGTTGTTTCTCACGTTCTTATATTCAAATTCCTACCGTTCTTCTTAGGTGTGATGCTCTTTTGCCTTGTTTGTGTTATATACGTATGCAGTCTTTTGGAATTTGAGTGATAATCTCCGGTGGAATTCATAAGCTGTTTTTTCTACAATGAGTGAAGCTGAGTGAACCCGTTCAAATCTGATATGGTGTGTTAACTACTCACTGTTAACACGATTCTGAGTAAAACAAAAATAAACTTTAAGCTCCCAAGATTATTAAACACACACATTGTTTTGTTTCCAGTAAAAATACATGTCCTCTGGCCACAATCTTGTTATCAAATGCAAATACAGTATTAAAAAGCATAATCCACTAATTGCCATCCTTATTGGTCTCGATTGAGCTAGCATCAACGGAAAAGGTCATGTAACCGGTTGATTCCATTCCATACGACCCATCATCACTATACCTCACAATCTGAGTCGATTCGAATGGCCTAGGTGGGATTGCCGGATTCTCGATATTTGAACTCTCGAGCATTTTCACCACTTCACTCATCGATGGACGTTCAGTTGGACTCATTCGTATGCACCACAGACCCACCACCGTCATCTTTCTTACAATTCCCTTTCCTTGCTCGTCAGTTTCACATTCGATTTCTGCATCTCCAGTCTCGATGTCCTTGCCTTTATCAAGCCAATCATAAATCCAATGTGGGAAGTACTGGCTAGATTCTTGGTCATTCCTTGTTATGTTCCTATTCATGCCAACCATTTCCATAAGCAGCATCCCGAAGCTGTACACATCGGCCTTGTATGAAACCCCTCCAATAGTTCTGTTGATGAGTTCAGGAGCCACATACCCTATCGTCCCCCGAGCGGCCGTGAGAGTCACCGTATTTTCATCGGTGGCGTACAATCTCGCGAGCCCAAAATCTGATATTTTTGGCGTGAAATTTTCATCGAGAAGTATATTGTGAGGTTTGATATCGAAATGAAGGATTTGGATGTTGCACCCTCGGTGAAGATACTCTATTCCCTTTGCCACTCCAATAGCAATCTCGTATTTCTTCTCCCAGCTCAGAAGGAGGTTCTGACTTTCCTCTGGCCTGGTAAAGATGTACCGCTCGAGGGAGCCGTTGGGCATAAAGTCGAACACGAGGGCTCGTCTGTTGGATAGTCTTCCCGCGTAATACCCGACGAGTTTGACCACATTGACATGGTGGATCCTCCCTATGGAGGCAATCTCGTTGATGAAGTCTTGTCCGTTATCTCTGGAGTTTTTGTTGTGGAGTAGTTTGATAGCCACAGTTTGGCCGCTTCGGAGCTTTCCTTTGTAGACTGAACCGTAGCCACCTTGGCCAAGTTTGTCACGAAAGCCACTCGTCATTTTCTTGATGTCTTTGTATGAATAGCGGATGGGCATGAGGTCGTTGTTACTCTGTAGGAAGGCTTCTATGAAGTCGAATGTCGATAAATGCCTTCTCCGAATTTTGTAGATGAGTAGCCAAAGCACGCAAGCTATTCCTATGATGATTCTTAGGGCAAGGTTGAGCCTAGCTGCATACTCTAAAGGGAACAAAAGGTTGACTGATTTAGTTTATACTATCGCTCAGTTGAATTTCTGACACCTTTATATTACATATATACACAGATGAGTAATGATAGGAAACATCTTAATGATGAACACATCAGATAAGGGTTGTAGTTATGTTGGATTAAGCATATCCTAGGTCAATACAACTTCCTTCTCTGACTGCATTGATAATTCTCACGTAAGTTTTGTTACATTTTCTTAAGTTCTCTGAAGGGCATTCAATTGGAATCCTTTTATTCTTGACTTGATGATATGACAATAGGAAGCATTAGCTACCCCCTTTGGTGTCAGCAAAGAGCTTTTTTCATTAACTTGGTTGGATAGGTTAAATCAATGTTATATGCTTATGAATATTTGGGGGAGTTGGATAAAATGTGGTTGAAAATTATAATTGATTTGTAATGTAATGGACAAATGAAACTTGAAAAGTTCAAATAGCAAATGTAAATAAATTGGAGGGATTGAAATTCGCTAGCTTAAATGGTTTGTCCTTGCTCTTGTTACATTGAACGTTTCGTTCATATCTACGAACCAGTATTAAGTCATGTACATATAAGGTGATATCTGCGAAGTTTAACTTTTCACCCCGTAATTTTAATAATTACTATATGGTGGTGGTTGATTTTTTAAATTTAGGTGTGAAGACCTTTACAAAAATAGAAGTTATTGTTTTATAATTTAAAATTTTTTTAGGGAAAAGAAAATTTGTAACCTTACAATCCACGTTTTTGGTTTTTGCAATATAAAGTATTTGTTTTGGCAAAAGCAACGTACACTTCAGTCAACTTCAATTGAATCTTGATCATAAAATCATTTGGAAAACCAGAAATGTGTATGGTCAAGATGTACCCGAAGTTGTAAATTGTAAATTTTCATGAACTTTAGGTTACAATTTATCTAAATATACTTTCGGTTGCAAAAGCAAACGTGTGCATAGTACATGTTGCGGATTTCTTTTTTCTATTCCCCACTTTCTCTCTATCTTTCTCTTTTAAATTGCTTTAGTACAACACTCATGACTCATGGATTACACGGGTTCTAGTTAAAATGTTATACTTACATTCTACAAATCACGTACGATGCAAGGGTAAAATATATGTATTAATATTTATAAATTAATATTGATCATTATATAATATTTATAAATTAAAAAAGGGAATCAATATGTAATATATTTTACCTATATTAATTTATTAAAAATGTTATATAAAATTTAAAATGGCGTAAAATTACACAAAATATGTTTATTTAAAATTAGTACACATCCCGGTGCACATAGATAATAAATTACATTATATTCATTTCAAGTTACTTCTATTTTTAAAATTTTTATTCAGAAATTTGATTTGATTACAATGTGATTCCATAAAATAAATGTTTTAGTAAAATCTTATCGTCTATTTAAAAATCTATGTGAATAATGAGTATAATTATAAATATTATATTGTTTCACTAATTAAGATGATTTTTTTTGGGTATAAACTATCCAAATCAAAAAAATGATGTATTTTTTTTTTCGAATAAAAAAAATTGATGTAGTTGAGTAGTTTATTAAACTATAAATAAATATTCCATTTACATCAAAGTTAATGTTGACTCGTAAGTTATGAATGATTATTTATTAGATTTTTAAAATTAAAACCCAAATTTGGACTATACACTAAATTCCCTTATGTATCTGATATACGTATATACATTATATATATTATCTAGCAATTTTCAAGAGTTGTTGTCAGTTATCTTAGCGTTCAAATTCATTAACTAATTTTCTAGAATTAAATTACAAATTCTAAATTTTATTAACCAATATTTGTTTTAATCTTTATTATGAGAATATGCTAAAACTTGAGAATCATATATATTTTCATATTGTCATTACCCTTATATATTCTCATACTGTAATTACCCGAGCCAATATATATTTTTATGTTTTTTTTTTATTAAAATAAGCATTTCACAGATGTATATTGGTTATTTATGATGATGATTTTTATATAAAAACACCGAATTGTACACAAGACATATGTTTTGTAAATACACGTGTTTATAAATAAGATAATCGAATATAAGTGTTTAATCAATTGATGAGTAGCCAAGTGGTTATCTAATTATCAACCTTTTTATATATAATATAGAGATTATGTTTAAAATTCCATATTTTTTATTCGTTTATTTAAAGTAATCTTTTAACTAATTGTGGAGTTTTGAAAAAGAGGGAAACCCGTGTGATGATATGGCTGGACAAACTTTTATGATTGGTGTGCTGATTTATTGTAGTTTAAGAGCATCTCCAGTGGAACATTGTCTATTTTGTGTTGAATGGCATGGAGAAAGGAAAAAAAAAAAATTATGTCTCCAATGATTAGTGTGAATTGTGGTGTCATTTGTAATGTGTAAAATTATAAGTGGGTGAAGAAGAGAAAAAAAAAATGAATAAACAATATATAATAAATAGTAGAAGGATTCTAGAATGGCTTCTACATCTAGAATGCCTTCTAGACATTTTTCATGCCATATAGGATTGTTTGTGCCATGTGGCAATAAAATAACACAATAGAATGATCATTGGAGATGCTCTAAGTAAGTGTTTAACATGGAATGGAAACTAATTATTTCATTTATTGGCTAATTTATTTGTACGGAATTTTCGTCCATCTATTTCCATAGCTGAAATGAAATATTCCAACATAAACTTAACACCCATAAATGAAATTTTTTCCTTACCAAATAGATGCCGCCCACTATATACCAAAAAAAGATTCATTAACTTTGCCAATATAATACCATAAATTTATAAATTTATTTCTAAATTTAGTAATTAGTAAATTTTTTGGAGGGAAATAGTTATTATTTAAAAAATAATCAAACCGTTATATATATATATATAGATGAAAAAGGGTAGTATTTTTATTTAAATATTAAATACTTTTAACCAATGTTGCATTATTTTTTAAAATTAAAACTTCACTTGTACAATTTACCCATATTATATTATCATAAGTTTCTAGTTTGTATCTGATGACCTTATAAATAATATTTTTAATGATATATAGTTTTCAAGTAGTAAAAGATAAATTAATTTTATAATAAAGATAAATAAAATTATTCATTTCTCTTATATATGCATTATGAATATCAAAACGAAGATTGTCAAAAGAAGATTAATTTAATGTATTATATATGAAAAATTGGTAATAAATACAAAATTTATTAACTTTTAAAATATATTTATAAATTAGGTTATTTAAATGTTTTGAATTTTAAAAGTCATAATAGGTATAGATAGTAGTCCAGATGTACATGTAAATCTGCTACTCAGAATCGCTAGAAATTAACACATAAGATTACAACGCACTAGAATTCAACACGTAGAATTACAAAGCGTCAGAAATTGATAGACAGACTCGGGAAACTCTGCATTTATATATAGGAAGATTAATGATACCTATATATTACATCATTAACATCTTTTAATTGATGGATAATAATTTTATTGTTTTCAACAAAGATTGATAGATAAATTAATTTTATATATAAAGGTAGATAAGATTATTATTGGGGAAATTGCACCAAACTCCCTGTGTAAAATGTGCGTGCTTCCCTACTGTGTTTTAAAAAGACCCCCTTGTGTTTAAGGGGTTGGTGCACACGCTCCTTTCTTTGTGTTTCCCCGTTAACGACGTTAATTTTTTGGCAAAATCCCCGTTATACCCTCTAAATATTATATATATATTTTTGATAAATTGAATTTATCACGATATATTGAATATATCGCGAATAATTGAATAAAAAAATTGCTGCTCCTTGGTTTCGAACATGGGACCTCATAAATTGAATTTATCACGATATATAATTCATTTCCGTATCATATTATAAATATATTTATGTTCATTAGATTACACAGTCTTGTAGCCCAGTGGTTGAGGCGTTTTCAATCCTTGAGACCCAGGTTCCATTCCTCCTTCCCACACTAAATATAATTTTAACTTTTACAATAAAATTCAGGAGGGTATGAATGTAAATTAGTAATTCTGAAAATAAAAAATTGAACAAATCTCGCGGCTAGAGAAAGTGTCATACACGCGCGGTTAACTTAGACGGAATGGGGGAACCGTGCATCGGTTACTTAAACACAAGGGGTCTGGTGCATTTTTTAAAAAAGAGTGGGGAAACGCGCACATTTCGTTAAACACAGGAGGAGGTTTGGTGCAATTTCCCCAACTATTATTATATGCAATATGAATGCAGTTACGGATCGTCAAAGTATAATTCATTGATTTGTCATATATGAAAACTAGTAATACATAATAATGTTATTAATTTTTTAAAACACATATACAATTTAAGTTGATCAAATATTTTATAATTTTAAAATTCCTAATTTATACATATAAAAATAAAACTCTAAAATTACATGAATTATTTCGAACCATTATAAAGTGATGAGTAGAATCCACAAGCACCCGAGGAGAGGATGATGTAGTATTACATAACTCAAAAGGTAACATTTAAACTCGTCAAACTTTGTAGTTTTAAATAAGATGGGATAGGAGCATTCTAGATTTATTTACGTGCTAAGAAATTGGGTTGTACATTTTTCTCCTAAGAGAAAAACGAAATTTGCAATGTGGACTATACAGGTTTTTAGCATTTGCAACATATAGTATTTCTTGGTAAAATACAACCTGGACTTGATGAACATTCATAATTTGCAACATCTCGTGCATCTTGACCACAAACGTGTGTGGTTTTGTGGATGATTGCATGGTCGGAATGTAATAAAAATTGCTAATTATGAATGTTCATCGGGTTACATTTAATTACTAGTGAAAAAAGATTAGGTTGCATGTACCAATCAAAATACTTTAGGTTGCATAGGCAAAAATCCTGCAACATTCATAATTTGCGACATCTCTAACATCTCGACGACATAAGTGTGTGGTTTTGTGGATAATTGTATGGTCAAGATGCTTTAGAGGTTCAAATTATGAATGTTCATGATGTTTATGTTGAATTTTTAAATAACAACATTTAGGTTACAAAGGCGAAAAACACATGGTTATGTATATTTCTTTTCTCTTATCCTAGTTCTAGAGCAATCTACCTAATTTCGAGAATGAGCATCAATTTTAACATATATAAATCGGAGAATGGAGAACGAATATAGAATTTAACTGAATTAACTGATCAGAGAACTTACCCGCAATTGACAAAAGAATCAATGTAATCCCTGCACGTTAATCACATATTGATGGTTAGCGCAAAAGTACTGAAAAGTATTTTTGTTGTGGATGATATATAAAAAGATAGTTAAAATATATTAATCATATTAAATCAAAATGAGAAGGTATGAAAAATATGAAAACAACCAACTCCATACCAAAATGAATGCTTTATTTTCATAATGACTATCAAAGAAATCTTCCATTCCAATTTATATTTTTAATGCTTTCTTTAATGTGGGACACGCATAACTTCCAACACATTACATACAACAGAGAAATATTCAGTATTTTGTGCCAGTGTTGACCTGTGGTGTTTTCATAATGTTCACAACTTATCATATGTGGTGTTTTCATAGTTCGTTAGAGAGAATTTGATAAATGGGTTGGGTAGAAAAACACTTATAAACAACAACAGCCCAATAGCTCAAAGGAAGAGGGTGCACAGCCCAAACTTATACACTATAACAGCCCAATAACTAATTGATGTGGGACAAACATGATTTCCTAAACCCTCATGATGTCCGAACCCCCACATCACCTCCAAATAAACAGATCCTAGGTGTTCTGATACTATGATAATTGGGTCTGGGCAGAACTCATCCCAAAAAACTAGCTCAAAGGGAAGGGGTGCCCAACCCACAGTTATACACAATAACAGCCCAATAACAGCTCAAAGGGACAGGCATAACTTCCAACACGTTACATAGAACATAGAAACATTCAGTATTTTGTGTCAGTGACGAGCTGTAGCCAGTTTGATTGATGGATAATTTTTCCAGAGTAAAAATAAGTCTAAACAGAGTTAAGAGATGGGATGAAGAAGATAGGAAACTGGATATAACTAATATATTTCAAGTAGCTGGTCAAAAGAAAAATTACGGTACAGTTTGCTCCAACAAAAGGGAAAATATTACAAGGCCATAGAACTGAAGAATTCTTACAAGACAAGGCATCAGTGAGCCATGTTGGCATGTCACCTGCATTATCCAGAAAAGAACTATTATTAGAATTCAAAAGCCTCGATAAACTCCCAAAATAAAGTTTGAAGTTTCATACTGCATCTTAGCTTCAGTAAATATTTGGTTGAAGTCAGAACTTGAAAACTTATCATGATTAATAAATCTCGTCTCTCATCATGTGAAAACTTAATTTCAAATTCTTTATCCAAATGCAAGTATTACCACACTGAATCTCCCCAATCAAACCAACATCACACATCTCCTTTCTGCACGTGGCTTGTTTGCCGTCAACAAAGCAATCTGCACATGTGCCACCACAAGGCGCATTGAACCATGAAAGTTCGAACCCATACAGTAGAGAACTGTGGATTTCTGAAAGCGAAACACTGTTTTCACTGTTGGGTAGTACTGGCAATTTTGAAGTCTTCCCCATGAGACCTATCGTACAATTATCCGTGAACCACGATCCATTAAAATGGCCAGACTTCATGTACATGTGATCCATGTGGCCACAATCGGAAGCTACTTCCAGAAGAAGCGAGTTATTCACTCGATATGGGCAGGTCATGGTAATCAAATTTTTGATAACGGACTCGTTGAAACCATATGGATACTGCCTGGGAAAATTCATAACTCGAGAAAATGAAGATTTACCGCTGCGTGTAATTGAATATCTACCGCTGGTAATATTTATAAGGTTATATGGAGATAGATGGTACGTTGGGAATGAGCAACTGTCATTCTCTATTATAGAAGCATCAGATAAGCGTATTGTGCGGTTTGGATAATCGATTGACCGGACAATGTATTTTTGAGAGTCAAAATGTACGAAAGTGGTATTATCTTCGCAGGCTAGTTCATAATCTGTGTTACCACAGTGTTTATGGTCCTTTTTCAGCCTGAAAGGGTGGCTAATATTAGGAATATTGCCGCAGGAAGAAGGTGGGCAGTGGGGAGTAGTCTTCTTCCCGATGCATGTCTCGAGCAATTGGATCATGATCAAGCAGGAAGAAAGGGATTTGAGGAGGGGATTGATCTTGTGGCTGCGCATGATATTCTTTTGGTGATTCAAAGCTTTGAGGATGAGATCTTGATATGGGAGAAGGGGAAGACTGGAAATATATAGTCAAAATATGGGGACCAAAAACAGATACGATTTTCAAAGCAAACTCTGAATATAAGGTTTGATATTTGATATACGTTTACATTGAAGTTGACTAGTGAAAATGATGGTGTTCCATGATAAAAATTTCCAAACAATCATATTTCAATTCTATTATTAGTTATTAAAAACTGAAAATATGAGGGTTTAATGTTGATATGCATTCAAATACAGTTAGTCATGTAAAGCCGGTACGAATGTTATGGTCGAAAAGGAATATGAGTTGAAGCTAGACTTAGAAAAGTTTAAAACCAATAGGTTTGTCAAAAAAAAAAAAAGGTGAAATCTAAGGTATTTTCCAGTTTTGGTGTATCTGCGAGTCGTCTTCCCATCAGTAAGAAAATACCGGAGCTTTTTAACTACTCAATGAGAGTCAAGTCAATAGAAGGGGACGTAGCATACTGGGCAGAACTGGACCACACAATACCATGAATGGTTAGGCCTACCATGTGGTGTGGGTATGAATAAAACTTTCTTAGTTGCTTCCTGGTAATAAATGCACAAATGTGAAGTATATTGACTTAGTGTATTTCACAAGCTCGACTAATTCCTAATTATTGGACAAGACGGCTCAAGCACTTAGCGACGCGTGTGGAATCAGTCAATTTTTTTATTTTTTATTTATTTATTTTTTTTTTTNATAGTATGTGTTATATTAGCAAATAATACCCTGAATATGTGATAACAGAAAGAGATAAAGTTATAGGTGTTGTAATTAACCTTAAAAGGTTATAACGAGCAAGAGACACACATACTGATATCAGAAAGCCTTTCTACAGCTGCCATGTCCGTTTTTCTTGTTTTCACTTTCTTCTGTTTGTTGTATTCCGCAGTGCTTGGAGTAGAAATAGATGATTGTAAGCCCACCAGATGCATGAAACATGGGCCAACGATTCGTTTCCCTTTCAGAGACAAAAATCGAAGCCCTCAACACTGCGGGTATCCAGGTTTTGATGTGTTCTGCAATGAGAGCAATGATACTGTGCTTGAACTGCCTTCCTCCGTACAAGTTGCTGTAAAGAAGATCAACTATGTTCTTCAGCAAGTTGAACTTTATGATCCTGAAAAATGTCTTGTGAAAAAGCTACCTCATCTGAATTTATCCACGTTCCCGTTACAGTTCTTGAATACAGAAAACTTGGATTATATCCTTGTTAATTGTTCACGAAGAAGTTTATTTAACTCATTTCCTTGTCTTGGTGATTCCAGTTCTTATTTTTTTGCCATTAGTGAGTCTAGGTGGGATAATGTTGGTTCACTTGATTTGACTTCCTGTACGAGGTTACATAAAGTTTATCTTCCATACGATGTAATATATGAGAAATATCTCCATCTGAGGTGGTCTGAACCGGCATGCGGTGGCTGTGAAGCAAAAGGGAAGTGGTGCAGGATATCAAGTAATTCAACAAGCGGCGAACGTCAAATACAGTGTGTCCACAAACCTAACACGACTAGTAAGTTCGGTTGCGCTTTTCCATTTCCACCTGTTTGGAAAATGGTTCTACGCTTATTTACCGAAATTTTTATTGGATAAAATTTATTATTCAGTTTTCACTTGGTCATGGAAGAAGGAAAAGCATATATCCAAACAACAGTACTCGTTTGAATGTATAGCTCAAAAGATTTATGTGAAATTATGCTTCACAAGTTTATGGTAAAAACACTACTAGAAAAAATAGCTTTTGCCAAGACAAAATCACATTGGCTGAAAGCCCTATTGTCATTTCAAATAATTTATTTGCAATGTTGAGTCGTGACAAATATGTTAGTGATAAAAATCACAATAACATTTACTACTTTTTTTTATTTTATTTTTATTTTTTATTTATTTATTTATTTATTTATTTTTGCAAACAAAGCTAAGAGATTTTTTTATTGTTTGTTACACATGCAGGAGCATCGATGGGGCTAGTGGTTGGAGGTGAACATTTTATCCAGCTTAAAATTTTTATTGTTACCTTATAAGGGAATTTCTTGTTTCCTCACTTATTCGAAGAAAAAAAAAACTAATACGGTAAATTTCGATTTCGATTNATAATATGTGTACTTTGTGGACTCTTTTAATAAAATTTTCCAACCTTTGGCAACCAATTGGTTATATAATCCAGAGTTTCTGAAACTTATAATTATTTCAAAAGAAGAGGGAGAAACAAAAAGATTTTTTGCAGTATTACCCTAACAACACAGAACTAGAATCCAAGTTGAACCCTTCAATTATTTGACAAGCCATTTTGTTCTACTGGTGCAGCCTTAGGTTCTTGTCTCTTTGTCACAATCCTCGCTTCCCTTGTCCTTCTTTACATCTCATTTAGATCAGAAAGACAAAATCACATCAAGATTGAGAAGTTTCTTGAAGATTACAGAGCCCTCAAGCCCACAAGATTCTCCTACTCCGACATCACAAGAATCACGCGTAAGTTCAGCGAGAAACTCGGCGAAGGAGGCTACGGAACTGTTTACAAGGGCAGACTGTCTAACCAAATAGACGTAGCCGTCAAACTACTCCACAACTCAAAAGGCAACGGTGAAGAGTTTGTGAACGAAGTCAGCACCATTGGCAGAATACACCATGTCAACATTGTCCGTCTCCTCGGGTTTTGTGCCGAGGGATCCAAACGAGCCCTCGTCTACGAATTCCTACCAAACGACTCCTTAGAAAAGTTCATCTTTCGTTCGTCCCTCGGCTGGAGGAATCTGCGGGACATTGCCCTCGGCATAGCCAGAGGAATCGAGTATCTCCACGAGGGGTGCGACCAGCAAATCCTTCATTTCGACATAAAGCCACACAACATATTGTTGGACCGAAACTTCGGGCCCAAGATATGCGATTTCGGGCTTGCAAAGCTCTGCTCAAAGGGAAAAAGTGGTGTGACGATGACGAATGCTCGGGGGACTATGGGCTACATTGCCCCGGAAGTTCTCTCGAGGACTTTTGGGAGGGCTTCGTATAAATCGGATGTGTACAGTTTCGGGATAATGGTGCTTGAGATGGTGGGTGGGAGGAAGAATGTGAAAATGAGCCAGGTGTTCTTTCCTCAGTGGGTTTATAATCGTCTGGATTCGGAGTTTGGGGAGGATTTGTGGGCTCGAGTGGAGGATGGGGAAAATGGGAGTATAGCAAGGAGACTGAGTATTGTTGGGCTGTGGTGCATACAGTGGAGTCCGAACGAACGTCCGTCTATGAAAGAGGTTGTTGTGATGTTGGAGGGAACTGAAGAGAGTCTCGTGATTCCTCCAAACCCGTTTGCAGCTATGGATGGTACAAGCTCTGTAGCGGGAATAATACAGGGAAGGCATCGTCATCATCAGATAGAGATAGAGTTGCCTGTCATACAAGAATCAGAGTATTTTAGTGCTTAAATTATGAAGTATAAACCGATTTGCACTCATGGTACATCCCAGCTTCAGGTCATATCTGGTTTTGCTGGGTTGAAGTAGATAGATTAATGCATTGGTATTCTTTGTACCGTAGAACCTGATTGTAACTTTTTCCCTGCATTTTGTTGGACGAAATATATTGGCTTCGGGAAGAGGAACAGCTGAGTGAAATCTGTAACATTGACTTGGTGAAATCGAGCATTTCAACTTATAGCATGTATAAGGTTATATCTATTTTTGGGTGTGTGTAGCCCTTGTTGTCAATGTATGGAG